GCAGCCGCCGTTGGGCGGGAGCCGGCCTGCAGCTTCCGAGGCCTTTCAGGACAACGGTCCTTAAGTTGCGCTAAACTGCTGCAACGTGAATCGTGAATAACGAGCACGGTGTTCCCGAGCGCTGTCTGAGGGATTTACTGCCTAACCCTGCCTGCAAGAGAGAAGGCCCTTTTAAAATAGGGACTATGCTGTAAGGTACTACCATGCTAACGCTAGACTTTTCTCTCCGACAGCCAATAGAAATAGATATGATTGTAGGAAAAGACCGAGAGGGGTTCTTCACCAATGGTCTGACCCTTGGTGCAAAGAAGTGCTCTGTGATCAGAGATAGCCTGTACGTTGATGGCGACTGCACAATGGACATCAGGACAAAGAGTCAAGGTGGTGAGCCAACGTACAACGTTGCTGTAGGCAGAGCTGGCCGAGGTAAGCGTCGCTTTCTTCGGTTTCAGTTCACTGAACTAAGAACGTGACTCTGATCATAGGCTCAGTCTACGAAAGGAGCCTGAAATCTTGTGTTTAACAACTAGTTTCAGGATGTGACATACTGTGGGTGGATGGCTGCTGTCTGGCCGATTAACTAGATTTCTGCCTAGGAATTCCACTTGCCCTGGTTGCCCACGTGTGATCATAGCTGGGCACTAGACTGCTATATGGTAAAACACCCCTCTGAGAAGCAGGAGTAGGCTATGGATTGAAGTAAGCTTGCCAAGTGTACTGTAACTTGCTATTTAAAATTTACAATAGAGTATCATAGGGATAGGTTAATGCTTTCTAGTGAAATTTGCTTTTCCCTTGTAAACTCAACAGAAAGTTTATTCTGCAAAGATGTGAATTTCTTGTACGAGCGAGCTACTTCTACATGCCTTTTAACAAGTTCCACACTAACTCTTCTTGCACTTTCTGTTGAGCTCTGTGAAGTCTGTCTTCAGGCAAAAAGGCCTGTCCAATTCGGTATCACTGAGAAGCTTGATTTACGCTAGTTTCACCGCTCCTTGCGCTTCTCATTTAACTTCCAGGAAAACATGTTACTGGGAACGCACTGGACTTGAATGTAAAAATCTTCCCTCAAAACACTGGGTACAAGTAGTACGGCTTGTGTTCAAAATATCTAGCCTAGAATTTTTTGGATAGCTATAGGCTAAATTGGTGAGCAATGGACTTTTGCTTATAAAGTACGAAAAGGTAGCACAAAACTTGTCTGTCGGCTAAAGCTACGCGGTGGCGACCATCCACAAAGAACGTTGGCAGCCCTTACACAAGTAGAGTTCTGAATCTTCTCTGCGCATTCTGAAATGCTAATGAGAACTGTTTGTCTTAAGCTTCTTGTGAGCAAATTGCTATGGAGATGTGCAGTCACCTTTAGGTAGGCTGACTGCAGTATTTCCAATTACACTATTCCTAACTTAGAAAAAAACTATTGTGCTTGTGAAAGCACAGTGCTTAATGTGGCCGTATACATGCTAGTGACATCTGGTGGCAACTTGCAGATGATGCCTTACTGGTTGAAGAACCTTAGCGTGTTCTCATTTGCCAGACAGTTTGACACTTCATCACCCAAATTGTGGGATTAGAGAGAGGGTCAGCATTAAAATCTTCTCTGCGCTTCATCTCGTGCAAAAAGTTAAGTGTTTTTTATAGCTGTATTGTTGCACAAGTCTTAGCTCAAGTCTGACCCTGTATTTTTTTACTACTACCAAGCCTGGTTCTTTTGCCAGCAGTGACCCCTACAGATAAGAACGTTCCCTCTTCTGCCGCTTTTCAGAATCACAGTTCTTCCCTACATACTACCGCTTTTGTTAACCTTTTTTTCCATACGTTTAAAACATAGCCAGGGTTTCCTGGCTGGCTGATGATGAATGGTGCTGATGGTAGATAGGCATCATGATGCTCTTCTGAGATAGCTGGTAGCTCTTCAGGTTGACATCTTTTTTAGCAGTAGACTCTCATGCCTTACATAGTTGTGTAATATCCTGGAGGATAACTCATGCCTTCTCCCAACCCCATCTACCATCTGTATTTTTACAAAACTCCTGTTAAACGAGCTTAATACCCAAATACTAAAACTTGAATTTGAGTGTGTTTATTGCACTGTCTAAAACTTGCATTATTTTCCTTGTCTAACACACTCTTTTTAAAACTTTTTTTCTTTTCTCTTTCAGTCTTGGTCTTTGTAATGGGCAAAGAAGGGGTCCATGGAGGCGGATTGAATAAGAAGGCATACTCAATGGCAAAATACTTGAGAGACTCTGGGTTCTAGTTGCTAGGCAGACTGTTAAGTATTAGGGGAAGATTGCTATTAAACTTTCCTGGCGGTGAGCTTTAAACCTTACATTCTGGAAACTTTATTAGCAATGCAGGGTGATGGGGTATGAACCTGTGTCTCCTTTGTATCCCTTTGTTGGTGGGGAAAGGTGTTATTTTTTTCTTTAATTCTGTTCATTTCTGTTTTGTTTCCTTGTGTACTCCAGCATTGGTTATAGTCATGGGAAAGGAAGGTGTCCATGGAGGGACACTCAACAAGAAAGCATATGAACTGGCTTTATACCTGAGGAGGTCTGACGTCTAAGCAGCCTCTCCCCATCCACCTAGCAACTGTCTTCATCACCACCCAGTTGTGTTCAGTGCTACCAGACTGTAGATGGTAGTTTGTGTTTTTTATTTACCCATTTTCTAATGTCATAATTCCAGTTACCCTTTGTTCATTTGTATGTTAACCACTGTATGTAACCAAGTCCCATATCTGGCACCATTACTGCACCACAATGATGATATGCATGATACCTTGAAAAACTCTTGGGAGGGGAATACGCCAAGTCTAGGCTTTGCTTTGTCTTAGCAATTAGCGTGGTATTGACAACTAAAACAACTTAAATACTAAACAAGGTGCCGATTGTACAATCTGATTTGATCAATGCCTCTTCAGCACTTTGAGCAATTACGCAGCTCACTTAGTCTTCCTTTCATAGAGCATGGGTGGGAGGAAAAAAGTGCATGCATATCTTTACTTCTCTCCCTCTCCTTTTTTTTTTAATTCACGTTTTGTTTGCTTAACCTATTTTTATAGTGCCTGGTTTGTTTAACCAATTTGCCACTCAAAAGCTATTAATGTTACATTAGTTTTGTTGTTGCACTTCACTGTAGGCTTAAGTCTTTTTTTTTTTTTTTTCTTCATGGTGTCTGACGCACGGACTGCTTAATAAGTGCAATCACAAAACTATCAAAGGGTGCAGATGCACTTCCTCCCATGACCTTACAACCACCATCCTGAATGAATCGCCAGGGACATTCCATCACTGCAATAGCTCAGGCACTTAATTTTTTTTTTTTTTTTTTTTGCCAGCTCCTGTTCTGTAGTTGAATTGTAAAAGGCTG